GGGAAAAAAAAAATTTCATGCATTGTCTAACAGTATCACATGACAGGTTTTAAGGAATGTTATTACTATACTTGGGTTAAACCCTCCGTTTGGCTCCTAAATTATCCTACGAATTTTTAATTTGATTTTTATTTAAAAAATATCTGATTTGATTCTTGAATTATTATACGACTTTAATTTGATTCTTACTATTTAGTAATTTGTTTTAAGTTGATTCTTTTATATAAAAAAAATTAACGTGTCTCTTATTTAATAATAAAAAATAATTACTTAATGATCACATATCACGTTAATAATGACATACATCAATTATTTTTTTATACAAAATGATTAATTTAAGTCAAATTAATAAATAATAAAAATTAAATTAAGAGTACGTATAATAATTTATGAACTAAATTAAAAATTTAACCTTACACTTTTAATTATTAATGTTATATTTTTTTATTTTAATGGATAATTATATAATTTAATTTATTAAAAATTTTAAAATTTTAAAAATATATATAATATAAAAATATAATAATTAATTACATTAAAAAATATTATTAACCTATTTTAAATATACCAATAACCCCACTCTAGGGCCTAGGCTTTGGGCCAGTCACCCATCTCAACCGACGCGTGAACAGACTTTAATTGATCACGTGTAAAGAATGGTGTTAGCTACATCTCTGGGTGGTTCCACCGAGATTAGTCGGTCAGACCGGAAACGCTCGGCGACCATAAATTCTCATTTTTTTTTTTAAAATCGTAAACCAGAATCCCAATCATTGCGGGGTGATAATCTGTGATCAAGATGCAATCTTGCCAACCAGAAAGATCATGCCTCGTCGACAGTCAACCCGTGATCCCCAATACAATAACTTTTCCTTCAGGACCACGAGAGCTCCCCAGGCCGATCGAGATCATGAAATTTCAACCTCTTTTGCTTAATTAGGTTGAAGTTTTCTACAGAGCAATCTCTCTTCTTTCTCTTCTTCCTCTTTTTTTTTTTTTTTTTTCAAGGATAATTATAAGGGAAAA